AGTCCCAGCTACTTGGGAGGCTGAGGCAAGAGAATTGCCTAAGCCCAGGAGTTGGAGGTTGCCGTGAGCTGTGTGACGCCACAGCACTCTGCTGAGAGCGATAAAATGAGACTCTTGTCTCTATAAAAAAAATAAAAAAATAAAATAAAGTAAAAAAGTAAAATATACTTGACTTTTTAGGTGTAATTTGGACTCTAGCAGGAGACCAGGATTAGGGTCTGCTTTTGCTGTTCAGTCTTACACTTCACTCTCCCAAGCCTGTGTTTCTTCATCTTCAAAGTATAAAAAATGATGGTACCTTAATTCACAGAGTTGTTTTGAAGAATAAGTATCACAATACATGTAAAATACTTAGCTGTGTGTTTGGAGCATAGTGCATATTCAATGCATGACTTAAAAAAAAAAGAAATCCTTGCATGTATGGTGTGTGTGCTTCCATCTTTTTCTTATCCTTTGAGTATTTCAGCCCCCTCAGGTCCTTTGTGGGGTAAGTTTGGCATTAAAGATGATAAGTCCTCCTTCAATCAGTGTAGGCAACATCTAGAAACTGATACTCTCTTTAAGGCACAATTGGCTGGTTCCGTGCTGGAAGTGGTGGTGCAAGCCTGTAGTCTCAGCTACTTGGAAGGCTGTAGGAGGATCACCTGAGGCTAAGAGTTCAAGACCAGCCTGGGCAACATAGCAAGGCCCCATAAGTACAAAAAGTTATAAAAACAAAAAATTAGCTGAACATGATGGCCCATATCAGTTATCCCAGCAACTTGGGAGGCTGAGCCAGGAGGATTGATTGAGGTTGCAGTAAACTGTGATGATGTAACCACACTCTAGCCTAGGTGAAAGAGTGAGGCCTTGTTTCAAAATAAATTAATAAAAGGCCAGACATGGTGGCTCATGCCTAATCTCGCATTTGGGAAGCCAAGGCAGGAGGATCGCTTGAGGACAGGAGTTCAAGACCAGCCTCAGCAACATACTGAGAACTGGTCTTTACAAAAATTAGCTGGGCATGTGGTATACTTTTGTAGTCCCAGATACCCAGGAAGCTGAGGCAGGAGGATTGCTTAAGCCCAGGGATTCAAGTCTGCAGGGAGCACTATGATCAGGCCTCTGCATTCTAGCCTGGGCAACAGGAGAGAATGTTTATTTAGGAAAAAAAGAAAAAATCAATTGCTTCTAAATAGCTGAAAGGAGTACATACATGAAAAGATGAAATTGAAAAGGATTTTCTTTTTACATGCTTCTTTTTCTTTATGTTTTTAAATAGTACCTTTGAAGATGAGACCATGAAGCTTCGACAGCTGAAACTAGATAATCAGGTGAGCAGAGTGTTCTGTTTTGAAATAGGTGGCCAGCAATATTGACCAGGAAGCTGATGGTCTTAGCTGAAGTCCTGGCAGGATAATGGAAAGAAAAGTGGAGAGGAGAAGGCTCTGATGTTACTCATTAAGCATTGCCTAGAGTTAATAGTCTTTGGACTCTGGCAAGACCAGAGTGCTTTGAAAACATCAGCAATAAAACTCACCTTGGCTTTATAATCACTAAAAATGCCTTGGCACTTCTAGACGAATTAGAAGAATGTTAACACTATATTTCTATGTAGTAATTTGGTTCTGCTACCTTAAATACCTCTCTACACTGTAATTTCATTTAGCTACAAGATTGTTTTCTTATTCTTTTTTTTTTTTTTTTTTTTTGAGACAGAGCCTCAAGCTGTTCCCCTTGGTAGAGTGCTGTGGCATCACAGCTCACAGCAACCTCCAAATCCTGGGCTCAAGCGAGTCTCCTGCCTCAGCCTCCCAAGTAGCTGGGACCACAGGCGCCCACCACAACGCCCGGCTTTTTTTTGGTTGCAGTTGTCATTGTTGTTTAGCAGACCCAGGCCAGACTTGAACCTGCCAGCCTCGGTGTACGTAGATGGTGCCCTAGCTAGTGCGCTACAGGCGCCAGCACAGTTTGATTATTTTCATTCATTTTTATTTGTAGGCATCCTAGTGTTGAAAGGCCAAATGGTACATAGCTTGCTAACAGTAAATGAATTTTGCCTGTAGATATATTTTCTGGATTTTTAAATTTTGTAAGTTTTATTCTTACAAGTATTCTTGGAGAATACTGTGTATGTGTGATATAAATGCAGGGATTTTTATATAAAACTTTTTATAGCACAGTTTTTTGTATTTTTATGGTTTTTCTTTCTTTCTTTTTTTTTTTTTTAGTGGACAGAGTCTCACTTTGTCGCCCTTGGTAGAGTGCCATGACGTCACAGCTCACAGCAACCTCAAACTCTTGGGCTTAAGGGATTCTCCTGCCTCAGCCTCCCAAGTAGCTGGGATTATGGGCACCCACCACAATGTCTGGCTATTTTTTTTGTTATAGTTGTTTTCGTTGTTTAGCAGGCCTGGGTCGGATTTGAATCCGCCAGCTCTGGGTGTATGTGGCTGGGACCCTAACCACTGAGCTACAGGTACCAAGCCACCTGGTCTCAGTTTTTAGTTAAAACTTTTTTGTGTACGTAGGCAATGATTTTTGCTTATGTTTGCTTTCTCCACTAGGAGGAAGTCTCAGGAGAATAGGAACCAAATATGTTTTTGATAGCTATTATATCAGAAGTTCCTAGCATAAGGCTGGGCATATAATACTCTATTAAATATTTGAATGAAGGTAGCAATAAATGAACAGTGTTGTATTGTTTCATGCTATGATCATCATGATTAGGCAGCCTTGGGAAACTATACCCAACATGCTTTCGTATTTGCTTTTTTATGGAATATTTTCTAAATCAGGAACTTCTGAAGCTCTAATCTACCATGGTAGTGTCATTAACAATCAAGATATCTAGGCTGGGTGCGGTGGCTCATGCCTATAATCCTAGTACATTGGGAGGCCAAAGTGGATGGATTGCTTGAGGTAGGGAGTGCAAGACCAGCCTGAGCTAGAGTGAGACTCCATCTCTAGTAAAAATATAAAAAAACACATGGGTGGTGTTGTAGGAGCCTATAGTCTCAACTACTC